AGCGAGCTCGGTTCGGCACGTCTGGCCGGCGGTTCTTCTTCAACGACTGATAAATGCTCAGATCCCCGATTTTCACACCTAGATTGACTCATGGCTCTCCTCCAAATTTGCTCACGCTATCTTTCACCTGACACCATGGGTAGATCACCCAGCGCCTGAGGGAGTTGGTAAAGTGCTCTCCCAAACTAACAAACTAACCACCTCTAAAACCGTGATGCTCCAATATCCTCCAATTGTGTGTTGCTTTAGGCTCCTTCGAACAAAACATGAGCATCCACACAATCTCCCTGTTTCGCCCAGCGACCACGTTGTGCGTTGCCCCTTTGATGCGCTTATCAGACAAGAGCTTGTTGCGTGCCCACTCCACCTGCCAAAAGACTGAACTAGGAAAAGGATGGAAAAGGTACAAGGGCATGTCAGAAGTCAGAACTATGGCTTTCTACCAGGAGCATTCCAAAATCCAAACCACTATATAGAACATATAACTTAACTCTGGTTTTCATTAGGAACAGCTTGTTTGGCCGGTGTTCCTTTTCGAAAGGAATGGATGCCCCCGGCTGTGAAGACTACCATCAGCTAGCAACCGCTGCTGTGCACACCTTCCACGTAGCTTCATTGTCGGTGCAACCCAGCGGCACAATTCGCAGACCCCCAACAAAACGAATGGATCACAAAAAGAGCATCCTCCGCTTCACCGAGGAAGACAAACGTCCGAGATGTTCAATGCGCCGCTGAAAAGACGTTCCACCGAACACCGCTGTTCAGTTCGGGGACAAGTGCGGCGGCGAGACCCTGATGCGGAGTGGAGGTGTTCACGTGTCCGATGGGCGTCCGATGCGTACCATGTTCGTCGTAGCCTACACTCCCATGGCTGACTTGTGCTTAGTAGGGAATGAGGGAATGGATCCAAAGGAATCTCTCTTGGGAGCTCATTCCCTGATTCCCTAAGCACCAGTCAGATGGTGTCGTTTCAGCCCACCCTCCGTCGTTTCGGCCTCCGTTGAAGTGTGGACCCTCAGTGCCACGTGAGCTTGGAAGGTGGACTTCCTGCGCTGCGCCGGTTTCCACCGGGTGCGAAGCGACGGTCGTTCTGGTGACCGGCGATTTGGGTGCATGGGTCAGCGGGTGAATGGGTTGGAGAGTCACACTTGGTTGCTCTTTAAGTGTCATAAAATAGTAAAAGTATAGCAACATATAGAAGCAACAAAGAGGACAACCTCGAAATTGCAAAAAGGACAAAGGAATGCAAAGCAAGCATTAATTACAGAAAAGCAGGGACAGACAGACAAACAAACAAACAAGCGCCAAGTAGTTGGAACATGCTGGAGCAACAAAACAAAGCCAGCGAGCACACCGAAGAATATCAGGGAGGCGGGTCTTAGCTGAATGTGAACCTTTCACGAGCAAGCCTCTTGGGTCCAGTTCCAAAGCCAACAACACTGTCCTTATTTCACTTGTTGATAAGTTTATTGATACTTATACTTATATATGTCCGGTTGTGTTTCCTCTTTGTCTTGCCTATTTGTTGTCCATACTTCGGAGTATTATGCTTCCTCTTTTCAAGGTTGTTGCACATTTCTGGTAGGCTTGGACGCTATTTCCGTGGCAGTTTGTGGCGTAGGTTCAATATGGTCTGAGGTCTAGCTAGCGATTAGTTGTGTGAGAAGGACAGTGAACACCAGAAAGAGAATGAGGATGAGGCTTCAGAATGCAACATGAAGAGATCTGCTTCTTTGGGCTTCAAAGGTCAAGAAGAACCTCTTCCCAATGAACCTGTAGCGCTCGAGTTCCTTGATGAAAACTCGCTGCTCTCAAATTTAATTTGCATCTGGTCTGTGACGGCTGGCCATTCTTCATGGCTTCCGCTACTTGCGGAGACCAGCTAAACCACTTCAGAGACAGAAGAAAGACACGGATGATGTGGCACTCAAGGTCAAACTACTCAAGGTCATTCGTTTCGGTCTGCGCGTTTCAGCCTGAGACCTGGGGAGTATTCTGCTGGGGGTCCCCAAGCGTGGTCTTGAGGTTCGTTCGACCCAGATGGTGGGATGCCCAGCCAGATTTGGACCCCAAGCGGTCGATTCACCCTTGGTCGAGGCACCATTCAAAAGGCACCGGTCGATTTGACCGACGCAAACTTCAACAACCCCCACAAGGAGAGCTGCCGAAAAGCCGCCGCTCCTATCTGCCAAGGTTTCGCCGTGACAAATCTGCACATCACCTCGGCCAAATACCATCAGTCTCTTCGCAGGAGATAAGTTCCTGTTTGGCCTGTTTGGCAGATAGGATATTTCGTTTTCTATAGCTGCAAAATCAGGTGTGATTTTGAAGATGAGTCGCATGTCGCCACCTTTCCCTAGGGGAGACTTAGAGGTTCCTGACGTGGAACCCATGGATGTGCCAACCTTCAACTTTGTTCAGTTGGTGAACTGAAAGTGGTGATCTCGAGAGTCATTGAAGTCATCAAAAGGAAGTTGCTGTGTGGCCTTTGGGACCTACCAAAATGTGAAGCTTGTTGCATCGGCTGTGACCGCAGCGTACCCACCATGGAGCGTAGGGCCCGCAGCTCGATGGCCCGCAGCATGTGAGCCCGAGCTCCAACCGTTCCGCGGCGCATGGACGGGATGGAGATACAAACAAACCACCGTGTCTATGACTTGCAGCGGAAGGAAAGGGGTGTTGGTGTCACCACCGCCTTCCGTTTGGGGTGCCTGGTATGGAGTTCAGTCGCTGAACACGGATCTCCCATCATCAGAAACAGCCCAGGGGAGTAGCAAGAAAGGTCATGTTTCAGCACCACCAAATGGTGCTGGTGTTTGTCCCAAAAAAAACACCTCCCAGGAGCAGCACGCTTTCATCTACGCATGTCTCTTTTTGTGAGACCGACCCCATTTATATCAATTTATTACATCAGAGAGCGGGGCATGATGATAGACCGATGAGGGTTGGTTCAAAGTCGGAAAAAGTTGAAGAAACCCGATCAACCCCAGGGGAGCAGAGCTGATATTTGCTGAAGTAGGTCAGTACTTCAATGTGGCTCACCAACCTGAATCTTCAGAAACCCGTACTCTTTAAAAAAAGTCTTTCGGTGCCGTCTTCTAGCTGAATCATCTCCAAAAAAAAGTATTAGTTAAAGCTAAGAATAAATAAACAAAACCGCCCGTCGTTTTCTCGTACCCCAACGAACACCAACCAAAAAATAAAAGAACAAAAAAAATGACGCCTCAACGGCGTTAGCCAAAGGCACAGGACACCTTGACCTCTGGTTTCACGGGGGGGCTCCTCACCTGCGACTGTAAGGTGTTTGGCGACTAGGCTTTCGATGGTCAGAGGGTTTCGGGAGGCGGTTTTTTTGAATCACATGGCTGGACATTCCCCTCCAGGTGTTGTTTTACATGGTCTTGGGGATGATCTAGTCCTGACCTGGTTGTCAACGATGGCGATACAAGCAAGGACCATCTGGCTTGGGGGATCTGGAAAGCTCGACCGGTCATCACAAAGGTTATTTGGAAGTATGGAACATTTGGAAGAAGCCTCCTCTGACTCCCTCACACTCCAAATCTTTAGACTCCTGAAAATGAAGTCGAAATGTCCAAGAAGAACCAGGAGTCCATCTATCTGCTACAAGTTTCTGAGGCCTTCACTGCTAAGTGCAACGCGTCCTTCATGATGGATTATATCGACAAGCTATTTGCCTGAAAGGATCTCGGACTTTTGCTGTTAAATGCTAAATGTGAGGTGATGGTCCAAAGGGCGTTGGATCGTTGCTCTTTAACAATCAGTGATTCCTCAAAGAAGATTCCACATTGGATTTTGGCGATGAACTTCTCATTTAGAGAGCCGCTGACTTCTATCCGATCAGGCCAATAAAAATGTGTGCCAGACCCGCGAAAAGCAACATTCACCAAAGCAAACACTGACATACTGAATACATCTTAATACACTCACAGAGTGTCTATATCACAATTCTGCAGTTCTTCCATCCAAATCCCCTTTTTGCAAGGCCCCCTGTGTCCATGCCCCATGCTCATCTTCACACAATGTGACTTCTTTGATCAGTGGAGTCACTGGAAGCTTCCATTATATATCTCACATTATGATTCTAATTCTAGTTCTATTCTGTAGAGACCGATTTGTATGTATAATATTGTAGTGTTTTCATTCTATGGACCTCATTGCCTCAGACCTGGCACTTCCCATTCCTACTTCATCCACCCTCCTTCCTTTCTTACCCACCCTCGCCTGGGCTCTCCACCGCGGCACCGCTCTCAGTGTCCAGTTTGGGCATGGCGTCCACCGCAGCTCGGAGAATTTCCACCATCTGGAAGACGCACCCCTCCGAGCCCGCGGACCAGCCTGAGACTGCGCGGATCGACGGTGAAGAACGCCGTGGTCGCTGGCGACCACGCCCGCGCGGTCGGTGCGCTTCGCGGTGCGCTTCTTTCGGTCTCGTCGAGGTCGGCCGGCCCGTTCTGGGCGGTTCTTTTGGGGGGGTCGGACAAGGCTGGGCGGAAAAGGGAGGAAGGGGAGTGGAAGGACAAGTGATGATATAGTCTTGGCAAGTAGTCTTGCGTGGAAAGAAGAACAAGCGAACCACAAATATTCGGCCGGATATATCAAGAAAAAACGAGTGGAAAACGATGAGTTGCTGTGGAAGATGTTGTAAGACCCAAGGACCAAACCACCCAAGGACCGCGAGGTTCGTTCCTCTCCAAAACGACCCAACCAACCCAGTCGGTCAGCCTCGCAGATCCGGTGGGCCGGACCGGCTTGCGGACAGGTGACCCACTGGGTTGGGTTGATACCCAACGATTGTGAAACCAAGGCTTGTTGGGCTTGCTTCACTGATCACCAAGTGCTGGAATGTGGTTGTCATGTGTTGTCATACGTTGTCATGCGTTGTCATATGTTGTCACATGTTGTCATGTTCAGAAAAATTTGGTGGTCTGTTTCACTGATACGTTGTCTCCTTGACCAAGCTAAGAAGCACCTGAATATCCTTAACGAGTCTCACACTTGAAGAAATTCGGTTTTCCAAGTGCAGGACAGCTTTCAGTTCTCTGCCATCAACATAATAAATATATAAACTCGGACTCACTCAAGTGGAAGTGGATGGCAGGGTGCCTGTTCTAGAGGAAAGTAGCCTTCTTCGGGCCATTCTCCACTTCTCAGTGAGTCAGGGTGCAAATGATGTGATCAGAGCAATTCAGAGCGGCAATCCTGGGACCCTTCATCGATCCCGGGGACCCTTCTCTCGATGGAAGATGGGTTGGTCACAAAGGGATGCTCGGATCTTTTTCCAGAGCACCAGAATCTCTAAATCCTTCTGAAAAGGATTTCTACGCAGTTCAGAGCTTGTCCACAGTCCAGCTGCATAGCTGTGTCTTTGACAGGAGTGCGCAGAGACTGCTTTCCAGACCTGGCATCATTGTGTGGGTTCGTTGCACTGCCACAAGAGACTCATGGACCGTCTCGAGGGCGACACAGAGACTTTGCGCGCAGCGAGGCGGAAGGGTAGAAGCCTTCCGAGAGCTTTCTTTTGTTCTTCGCATTTCTCTTGCTGGCTGTGCCTCTTCTGCGGCTCCTGCGGACAGAAGCGCTCGAAGCTGGTGCACCTGTGAGGGCAACGTCGTGCAGGACCATCCCAGAACTCCAAGACCAGTGCACGTCGACATCCCTGCACCACTGGGGCGACACAGTGGTACTTATGTGCCTGAAAGATCAGAATCTCATAAAGCTGAAAGCGGTGTTCCTTGAGACCCTCCACTTCCAGCGTCTGCAGCTGGCCACCCAAAAAGTCGATGCCTGGTGCAGAGCACATGACATCTACTGTGACCAAACTATCCATGTCATAGTGCCTGGGGTCCGGGATGCCAGGTCCTGGTGCCTCCTGCTGGTGCCACTCAATGACCCTCGCTTGGAACCGATCTGCTTGAGCTTGGGTGACCCACTTCTGTCTCAAGGCCACCGACCGGGCTAGCGCGGTGAAGCGCTCCAGCAGCTCGGGGGCATGTTCTTCAAAGAATCCATTCGTCTGCAGGAACGTCACCTGCCAGTTCTCCGAGTTCGGTGAACGCACCTCACAAGCGAGTCCGGCGTTTCGCGCCGAGTCCGCCAGACGTTTCAAGGTGGCCAAGTCCTCTGTGCCAATCGTTCCAGCAGGAACCACCTGAGTCGTTTGTGCGTCGAGAACATCTGGAGCTCCTCCACGCACTCCTCCGCGTTCCAGAAGCAATTCAAACCACTTCTCCGGGCAAATGACCTCCTCGAACGCGAGCGAAGGGTCCTGTGTTCTGGTGGGAGTGACCATGCAAAGCACAGTGGCATCGGTGGCCTCCTCGTCCTCGCCATCCTGAAGTAAGTCGTTCAGCTCCACGACATCTCCCAAGCTTTCCACGCTCCTGCACTGATCCCGTTCGGACTCCACCAGCAGCAAGCCTCCTTGACGCAAAGAAGGCACTACTTCATCAAGCCTCAGCGAAGAAATACGTCCCTCTTCAGCTCCAAAGGGTTTCATCACAACGATGCCATCATACAGTCCCTCTTGGGTCAACTCTCCACACCCCTCCATCGACCCCGGCGTTCGCACTGCGCCCGGTGCCTTCTCGGTGTCGCGGTGTCGACCCGTCTCCGCGGTCGAGTCTCGCAGCAATCGGCGGCTGCCCTGCAGAAGCCCAGCAGCACCCAGTCTCAAATCGAAGTGCTTCGAAAGCAACGTGAAGGTACCGCTCTCTTCGTTGTCATCGGTTGGCTCCAGCACGTCCACCTGCACCTCTGGCGCGTGGTGCGCCAGAAAGGAGGCCAAGAGCCCATCGCAGGCACCATAGACCAAAAGAGCAGGACGAGTTGGACGGCGTTGGTCCTTGCTCTGGTATCCTTCGGACGTTTCGTTGAAAGTCCTAGCCGCTGCCAGCAACAGCAGCCCCGCGGCGGTGACTTCTTCCCATCGATGCAAAGCAGCACCTGCAGGATATAATGTGTGCCACCCTCCAGGCACTGGGCTGAAACTAAGCCATGGACCATGATGAAGCAAGCGCTGCCGTCCTATCTCCTGACCATCTGGCATTGGAGCAAACAGCACCACGTCCAAGACGGCCTTCAACTTCAGATGGTCGCAGCCGGTCGACAGAAGAAAACTCGAGGTCTCATCGCAACAGCAGGGCAGGTAGTCGACGACCTCGACACGTGGAGAGCACCATTCAGTGGAAACCCAATGTGCCAGCACCAGCGCCAAATCCACCAGTTCGGGGTCCATCTGTCGCAGCTTGGAAGCAGATGGTAACACAGGCGGCGCGGAAGGCGTTGCTTTCATTCTCTTTGGACTTGGCCCTTCGGTTTCTTCTGCTTCTGCTCCACTTTCGCTTTCACTTTGCACCATGCTTTGCAGCTGTTGCGCTAACAGCCGGATGCAAAGAAGAGCGCTTACTACGTCCCGGGTGGCGCTGCACCCTTCATTGGCATCGTTTCCTCTGCTCCGAATGGCGTTCTTGGCCTTCCTCGCGTAGAAGAGCAATGGAAGGGCTCCGCGCCGCAGAAGATCAACGACGAACGCGCCGCCTGTTTCTGAATGCTCCTCCTCCACGAGTCGATGTAGCCATTTCAGCAATTCTGCGGAGAAAGACTTCCATGGGAAAGACATCGGACAGGTCAGTCAGAAAACATTATTTGGAAGAATGAAAGACATGTCAAATCACGTCAAACTGGTCAAACATGGTCAAACCCTGAGGTTGTGGGGAGAATTATCAAAGATCTTTTAAAGATGTTTAAAGCATCTCTCTACGGTCTACAACCAGTCTACGAGCAAAATGATCTCCCATGGCCGTGGATCAGCGACCAACACTCCAATCCTTCAAGTGGAGCCACTCCGCTTCGCAACCAAGACCTATGCCTCTTTTCTTTTTGCCAGACTGGGGCCACGGCAATTTTCCAGCTCTCGTTGCACTTTAGGCGCAGTGCCACGGGGACACTCCACCGAAACCTGAGACCGTTCGACGAACCCTTCGGGGCGAAAGAAGGTACTGCCAGAGAGTGACCCCCACTGCTCTGACCCACAAACTGTTGTTGTTGTTGGCTTTCTTAATTGAAGTCTGTTTGACCACAACGCTGTAGCAACCAGCAATCTGTCATTTTTGTTTGTTGGCTACTGTACCCATTCACAGAGTCAAACATGCCTTCCCCCTAACAATCCCTAACACAACACATCAGTCCCATCCTCTCACAGTCCCATGGGTCCATAACCAAGACACGATGGGCGGCTCGCTGTGCGGATAACCGGCTGGCAGCTGCACACGGAGATGTGTGTCAGAACCCACTTTCACGACCCACTCGTAGTCATTCCAGGCCTGCGCGGCTCCGTCGCTGGGCACGGCCAAACACGCCAACCCCTAGTCACTGCGGCAGTGAGGCTGCAGCTACCATGGTCCTAGTCACTGCGGCGGATGAAGGAGTGCATCTCATGTTTCTTTCCAAACCTTTGGGTATGGATTCTAGACCTGACTGCAAACCCCTGTTTCCAATTTTTATCTTGGAGCCCCTTGGCTCTCTGAACATCATAATTGAAACTATCCTGGCAAGAGACCCCAAAATGTGTGTGTGTCTAAAGGACTAAGGTCTATAGAGGTGTAGCAGAAGCTCTAGAGATCTAGACGCACCGGGTTCCAAAGAGAGCTACGAAATCCACACATCAAGGTCCACAAAGTTTTGCGCCTGCCACGAAATCTGCACTTCAAGGTCCACAAAGTGCTACGCCTGCCACGAAGTCTGCACATCAAGATTCACATCGCGCAGCCCTGCCAAGGCGATTCGCAGTAAGGGCACTTCCAAACACAACATCAAGATGCCAAAATGCAGCTTTCGCTTCAGACTTCATCCAATTTCTGAAAACGAGCCACATGTCCAAAAGTCACGACTCATTGCACCTGCCACGAAATCAGACCGAAGACCACAAATGAGGTTTCCCTGCGCCTGCCACGAAAAGTGATCACCAAGCCCAAAAAGCACCTCCAAAAAGCACCACCCGCCCCCACCAGCGGGAAACCCTCACACCCAAGAAGAGCGAACTCGCCAGTTCGTGGGGAGAACGATGAGAACGATGCACCGAGAACGTCTCAAACCCAAGAAGAATCTCAGAGGCTCAAGTCTAGACAAAGCTGGCATGAGAAACAGCTTTGTAAGACGGTGTCCACTGAGTGGACCTCTGCGTCGGGTCCATGAGAGACCCAAAAGTTCCCCCAAAACAGTTACATTTCATGGAAAATCAAACAAACAAACAAACATCCAAAGCACCATCGTCCGCTTGCTCGCCGCCGTCGCGCCCTGGTCCGGGTTTTGGTCCATCAGTCCATCATAGTCCATCCTTTGACCAATCGAAAACCCATTGATCGGCGGCGGGTTCCGCTGCACCTCGAAATCGGTGGTATAGATAGATGCCAAGGCTTCATGCTCCTGCGGAAGCGACGTCGTCGCCGCAAATCACAAGCTAGAATCAATTCATTCGTACGATTCTATAACCCGGCAGAATCAGGCGAGAAGGGAGAGTGAGTTGGATGAGACTAGAAGACAAACATGAACAATCCAGGTTCTTTTGGAGGTTGCCAAAGGAGGGTTAGAGCCCTCCACAATTTTACACCATCAAGCTCACCAAGAAATCAATCATGCCGTATCATGCCACCAAAAAGGGGCATGAAAAGAAACACGCTCGTTTGCCCCGCGGAAGAAGCACCTGATGGAGTATGGGATTGCTTGACGCGCGGTTCTCTGGGGACGTCGGCCCCTCCGGGAACAGGTTCGACCGCTTCCTCGGCGAAAGGCGCGGTATGTCCCTCCAGATCGCAGCTGGGAGGAGGCCGGGGGCCCCGGGGAAACGAAACAAGAGAATTTGACGTGAGAAGAAAAGCGCTGGGTGGAGGAGTTCTTCTATCGAGACTGTAGTGGGCCCACTTAGTGGCTGAAGGGGGTAAATCGGGACTGTTAGATGAAGGCCTGAAAACCCGGCCTCGTTTGGACCTTTTGTCAGTGAAGGTTAGAGATCTTGGTTTCCTCTGCATCTATGTGATTCATGATTACATAGATTTTATATATATATATATACATTAGTTTTATATGCTCCTCTGCAATAAAAGGCATGATGATTCTCTTTGTTTCTCGCCTTCCAACTGCTATGTCCGGTCCACCAGGAAAGGCTCCAGGGACTCCATAACCTCTACCAGAGCAAACCTCGCTCAAGCCCAGCAACAGGCCCGGACAGTTCCGATGGAGGATCTCCCATAGCTCCGACCTCGGATGGAAAGGCTTGGCTGAGAAGGTCTCTGTACACATGGGCCCACCATTCATGGGATTGAAGAGGAACGTTTTTGCCACCAGGATCCATTCGTGTTCCTGTGTTGCAAACTCACAGAGGAGACAGAGGAGTGGCAAACCGAAAGAAATACAGTGAAAGCCCGGCAATATAGGATCGATGTGGCCTCCTTTTTGAGAGACCTCTAACAGCGGCGAATGGGGTCCTTCTTCTCTGGTTCCTTTGAGCTGGGCCACTCTTGCGGGTCTCCACCGAGACACCGAGACTTGGCATTCAAAAGACCCACCCCGGACTTGAGATCCTATCCACCGGAGACTGGGCGGAGCAGCAAAGTGGAAAAACCTGACACCTCCCCAGCAGGTGTTTGGACAACGCGCAGGTCTCATGGAAACTGGAAAGTTTGGAACATGTGTGTCACTAGCAGGTGAGTTGCTACGCTTGGAAACTGCAGAAACTCCAAGCATCAGTCAGACTACTTGCTAAGCAGATTTTGGCTAAACATATTTTGGGCCCGGCATGAAAGGGCCGGGTGGTGTCGTATATGAGGGTACCCCCTTGTGCACCGGACACTGGTTCTGCCAATCCACTTTGTAGCTTCAATCATCTCCTCAGGCATGTCACAGCTGAAGCTCACCAGCACCTCACGGCGCGGTGCTCGCCTAAAAAAGAACAGGCATCCCTGTGAGCGGGAGATGGAGGAGGACAGAATGTCAGAGATAGTTGCAAATGAGTCAGAATGTCCAAATATCTCAAGACCTGCCATCCCTTTGAGGTCTGCCAACCGTGGCCAGTGAGAATCTTCCCGTGCCGATTGCCAGAGGCTGAAGAAAGCGCCAAACCGAGAAGTCGAATCCGGACCACGAAGATCACGCCGCATAAGGCCAGTCAATGCAGGTAGGTAACGAGCTTCGTGTGCTCATTGTGACATCCCTCCTCTATGGGTTCAGAACATGTATCGACACCATGATGCTCTACCAGCTACCAATGGAAAGCATGCTCCAGTTTCCCGAACGAGACGATGAGTCAACGAGACGAGGGGCATCGAGGTTCTCCAAGTTGGCCGAGAGCCTGTGCCTGGCGGATTCCCAAGATTCACCAAGCAAATGAGCACGGCAGTCAAGATTCTAAGATTGACGTAACGTAAATATGATATAATATATATGTACTATATTGGTATAGTTATATATTAGATTACTCTATAATATATATATAACTATATACATACCTATTGTTATCCCATTACAGTATACATGTTGTCTGTGCGATTCATTCATACCCAGTGCCTTCCTTTACACCCACCTTCCCTCAACATGCACTCAACAGGCTCCGTGGCTTCAAAGAGAAGGTCTCCAACTCGGTCTTGAAGGCTGCGACGTTCTTCGGCTTGCGCGGCAACCTGGGTTGGAACGAAACCGAAACGGGGCTCGTAGGGCGAACGGTTCTCCACGGTGTTTGGCGATGGACTGATTCGGAACGGGGGGCTGGGGCACTCCGAAGGTACTTCCCCATTTGGTCGATCGTCCAAAGTCTTGTTTCTTTGTTAAACTAGCATTGGAGTCCATTAATTTATATAGCTGTTCTACATGTTCCTACTTTTCTGGCTACTCCCACCACAGGCTGTGTGTGTGTGCCCCTTGATCGGTGAAACCATTTCATGCATGGCATGTCGGTGTGATCCATGATTATGTGACCCCGATCTGATCAGAATGGATGTACACCAAGCCCCATAAGAAGCATGAGCATTCTTCCTTGTGAAATGAGTCTAAACCTTCGATCTGAGGAAATGAAGTGAATCTACGACAGAAGCCTACACTACGACACTGAAGAGGATCCTCAGTTCCATGGCTTCACCCAAGTTGATGTGGAGGATATGCCTCTGCCCTTGCCTGGAAATGTGAGAGTGAGAGTATCTCAGACATCACACGGAAGTGGATGGACAAACTGGGTCATTGCTCAAACATGGAAGACTGGACACAGTCCTTGGCAAATTCAGATCCCCTGTCGCCTGAACCTTCCTTCTCCACCTTCCTTCTCCTTCACGTGGGTTTCCACCTGGTCACCCAGGTCCCACATCTCTCTGCCCTCCGACTCGTGCCACGGCACCGGATGCGGCACTCCTTGGTGCCGACCAGGTCGTTCGCTGTGGAGGTGGTCGTGAGGGACCGGGCGCTTGGACCACGCGTGAGGTCCGAGCCGTTGAGTTGGACCTCGACGCGGAGCCGAGGTGGGCGACGTGCCGGGCAGACTTCAAACGAGGTGAACGTCCATGGAAACTCAAGAAACCCCCATGAGCTGGCCGAAAGAGAGGCGGGGCTTACCTTCATGTAGCTACACAACAGCGGCGATAATCTGGCCAGGGCCCAGCCCCGTTCGC